GGCTCCCTGCTTGGCGGGAAGCCTGCTTCTCCCTTTCCCACTCCCCCTGCTTGTATTCCCTCTCTCACTGTATCTCTCTCTGTCAAATAAATAAAAATCTTTAAAAAAAATTATTTTTCTTATTAAAAATCTTTAAAATATAATTTATTATTTAGGGAAAAACAATAACATTGAATTATGAAACATATATATGTGCAAAATGTATGACAATAAAGGCTAGGAGGGGAGTAATAAAAGCATACTATTATAAGGTTCCCATACTATAAAGTGGTATAATAGCTTTCAAGGTATACCATGATAAGTTCAATATGCATATATAAACACTAAACCAACCACTAAAATAAAATAAAAATATTTATAGTTAGTAAGTCAATGAAGGAGATAAAATGGAATCAAAAACACCCAATCCAAAAAAAAAGATAGAAAAAGAGAAAAAAAGGGAAAAAAGATGGGACAATAGAAAACAAGTAGCAAGACAATAAACTTGACCACAAAAATAACACATTAAATATGAATAGTCTAAATACTACAAGTTAAGGTAACAATATCAGACAGGATTTAAAAAAAAAAAAGAATTAAAAAGATCTACATATATGTTGCCTACAAGAAATACATTTTAAATATAAAGACACAAATAATATAAAAGTAAAAGAATGGAAAACGTTAGAGCTATCGAACACTAATCAGAAGAAAGCTGGAGTAGTTGTATCAATAACAAAGTAGCTTTTAGAGCAAAAAATATAACAAGAATATAGACAACAGTTTCACAGTAATAAAGGGATCAATTCATCAAGGAGATCTATTGATTCTAAATGTTTGTGCCCTTAATAACAGAGCTTCAAAATGCATGGAGTAAAAACTGGAAGACCTATAGGAAGAAACAGATAAATTCGCAATTATTGTCAGAGCTTTCAATACCACTCTCTCAAGTATTGATATAACAAAACAGAAAATCAGAAAGGATTTAGAAGACTTGAAAAACATAATTAACCAATTTGATCTGGTTGGCATTTATATTAATATCCCATCCACAAATAGAAGGATACACATTCTCTTAAAATGGACAGGCCAGATTCGGAGCCATAAAACCAATCTCAATAGATCTAAAGTGATTAAAGTCATAAAAATTATGTTCTTTGATATAGTGAAATCAAACTAAAATTCAAAAACAAAAAGATGTCTGTAAAATTTGCAAATATTTGGAAAATAAGTAACATTAAATAAGTAACAGTAAAGAACCCATAAATCAAAGAAAAAAACAAAAGGGAAATTAGAACATATTTTGACCTGAATGAAAATGAAAACTTATCGAATATTGGTAAGCCACTAAAGCAGGAGTTGGAGGGGAATACTTATATTACAAGAAAAATCTGAAATCAATAACCTCAGCTACTTCCTTAAAAATCCAGAAAAAAGAGGAGCAAACTAAATTCCAAGTCAGCCAAAGAAAAGATATAACAAAGATCCCAACAGAACTCAGTGAAACAGAAAATAGTGAAAACTGATGAAACGAAAGTTGATTGGTTTGAGAAGGTAAATAAATTACATAACCTCCAAGCCAGATCAATCAGAAAAAAAAAAGATAAACTACTAAAATCAAGAATGAGACTGTGATACCACTGTAATTTCCACAGGTATTAAAAGAATAATTATAGAATGTTACCAACAACTTCTTGCCAGTAAATTCTGTAACATATGAAATTGGAAAATTCCTTTAAACATACAAGCTGTAACTTAAATAACCCTATATCTAATCAGACAATTAAATTGATAGTTAAAACCTTCTTGGGAAAGCTCCAAGCCCAGATTATTTTACTAGTGAAGTCTACCAAATAATTAAAGAAGAAATATTACTAATTCTACCCAAACTCTTTTAGAAAACAGAAAAGGGGGGAAATGTTTTGCAATTTATTTTGTGTGGCCAGCATTGACCCTGATAACAAAAACAGATGAAAGCATTACAAGAAAACTATAGATCAGAATCTCTCACATAGATGCAAAAATTCTAAATGAAATTTTAACACATCAAATCCAACAATGTATTAAAAAAAAAGATAATGCATCATGACCATGTGGAATTCATTTATTCTGGAAATGTAAGGCTTTTTTTTTTATCATTTGAAAATCGACCAATGTAATTTATCATATTTTTAATGTAATTTATCGTATTAACAAACTAAGAAACAAATTATATGATCATTTCAATAGACTCAGAAAATTCAACACCCATTTCTAATTAAAACAAAACAAAAATCTCTCAGCAAACAAGCATTCAGTCTCTCATCATTAAGTATGATGTTACATAAAGAACGAGCACTGTGCTGGGAGTCAGACCTGATTGTAAAGCCTGGCTCCACCAGGTACTGATTGTAGGAATTTGGGAAAGTCACATACCCTCTTAGGGACTCACTTACTTGATCTGTAAAATGAGGCGTAGTCATTTGTAGAGTGAAGTTAGAAAAATATCGGCACTTGTTCCTTCACCCCCTGATCCCCCCAAATAAATTTCAACAACTATCCATGCAGAAAAATACCTCCACAGAACTAAGGTTTCTAGGTAAGGGATTATAGCACCTGGGTGAAGCACAAAAATAGGAAAAGCTATATTAAGCAGGTTAGGAAAGACAGATCCACTATCGTAATCCTCCCTGTGGAAGGAGAGAGAAGTGTATGCCTGACTTCACTAGAAACCCTGTAGCTACCCTGTTCCAGCATGGAGCTGACTCCCTTGGATGTAGGTGGCTCCCAGCAGACTCTTAGGACCCCAGGCCCCTGGCTAGGGCCACCAGCTATCAAGGCCCTGGAAGCTTCCATGGCACCGGGCTCCCATGAACTCAGGCTTCCAACCCATCCTGGCGTCTGCCAGTTCCTGGTCCCTGTGGCCCAGGCTCCACTTGGTCCCAGCACCAGGCTGACTACCACAGACCCAGACTCCTGGCCTGCCTGAGAGCAACACCAGCCCCCACAGAGCCCAGCTCCAGGACAGCATAGCTTCTTGGCTATGTCAGACATTCAGAACTCAGTGAGAGCACTCAGGAGTTACAAACAAGTGTAACATTCTTAGGAGTCCTTCTTCTCATCTTCTTCTGTGTGCCTGAATCATTTCCAATTCCCTCTTCCTCAGCACTGAATACAAAACTATCTCACTAGAGATAATATGTTTCACTAGAAAAGGCAATTCCTTGAATTTCTTGATTTCAGTCCCAGAGAGAATGTATTTCAGACTCAGGTATTCAAACACGGGACCTGTAGGCCTTTCCAAGCAGAAAAGATTAAATCCTCTTCTGAATTAACTAACCCTTTGATAGAGAACTTCGAGGATTGAACTCAGAGAATCAGAAATTCTTTGGGCTACAATTTACTATCATTCCCTACTGAAAATCATATGAAAAACAAAACAAAACTAAACCCCACAGACATGGGCACCAGGTGACAATCACTAAACCACGAAACCTCAAATGCCTTCCCATGTCAGACGACAGTAAGTCTCCAAAGGCATTTAGAAAATCCATTTCTCTCCTCTGTCACATTATCCCAACAAAATGGGAAGTCATGGTCTTTCTACTTACCTGTGTAGAGGTCCGTATCTGTGTATTCATCCACTTTCTTGTGCTGCAGAATATAGTCGGAGACCTTGGTCCCAATAGCTGGCTGAACATCCACCCACTCCAAGGAGACCACTGTGCTGGAGGGCTCTACTGTTGGGGACAGACGAAGCCTAAAAAGGGTGACAGGGAAGGTTGGTTGTTCTCCGGCAGTATTGTCTGGATCCCCAAAGAGTCTGCAGGTCTCAAGATTAAAAGCACAGGATTCAGGCTGGTCTCAAATCCCATTTCAATCCACCAACAAGCCTTTGTATGGACTCTGGCAATTCATTATACCTCTTTCAGCCTCCACTTCCTTGTCCATAAAACAGAGTTAAGAACAGCTACATTTCAGGATTAATGTGGGATCCAGTAAATTAATCCAAGCACACAATACATGCTCACAGAAAATTGATTAGCTTTCCATTTGTCTAAACCATATTTCCAGCGATGCTTCATCGTCAATTAAATTGACAACGCCTTCAAACACAGTAGCCTCAACCTTCTTGCCATTCTCTCCAATCCAATAGATCAGTCAACTCTTTAATATCCTTAAATCAATACTCCCTCAGAGAGGGCAGGAGTCCCAGAAAATCCTTTTACAAGGTAAGACATAGTAGAATGATTAAAGGTTAGAACTGGAAAGGTCCTTAGCGGCTGGGAAGTGCAATCATCTCATTTCACAGATGGGGAAGTAAAGCCCAGAAAAGGAAAATAATTTGCAAAAAATCACCCAGCAAGTTGGGGACAGAACCGTGATGGTAGTAACTTTGCTTGTCCCCAGCCCAGAGTCCTTCTCTCTTTCCATTACACAATACCATACCTCTTCAAGAACTATCTTACAGTATAATCTCCCCAACACACACACAGAGGGGTGTTAAGGGACTCTGGTTCCCCCATATTGGTCCCTGCCCCACTCTCCTATGCTCCTCACGGCAGTGTCTTAATCCTGCCTCCAGTCAAGACGACCTCCTTTAACTTCCTCGAATGGTCAATTTCCCACATCAGGGCTTTCACACATGCTCTTCCTTTTGCCTGAACCATGACTGTTGCCATTCATCATCTGGAAAACTACTCCTATTCAGGTCTTTTCAGAGAGGCTTCCCTAACTCCCCCTCCTCCACTAACACACCAACCCCCATTCTTCTCTCTCCTAGCACCTCTTCATTTTTCTTTCATATTTTTATTAACTTTTTTAACTGTATCATATTTTCCTGTTTTGCTTTGATAGTTGTCCCCTCACTAAACGGTCAGCTCCCCAAGTACATAGACTATCTTGTTCACTGACGAATCCCCCAGTGTCTGACACATAGCAGGTGGTCAAAAATTATTTGTTGAATGAATGAATGAAATGATGTTTCTTTGAAAAGGTTTTATGCTCTCTTTATCTCAGTGGTCCCAATTTCCAACAGTAGTCAGTTCCCAGTAAACCTCTCCTGAGCAGATGAGTGAGGAAGATAAACCCAGGGCATCATTTAAAAAAGCTGGTTTCTATTCTGCCAAAACTCCCTGTTTTCTCAAAGGAGGCAGGTCCCAGAGACATCAGAGATCTGGTGACACACTCTGGGAACAGAAGCAAGCCATGGTCTGCACTGGCAGGACAGAACTGTGAGTCCATGAAAAGGGGTGGGCAAAGGAAGAGGGACCATACATACGTACACTGGCTGTGGGAGGGGGCTGCAATTGGGGAGCCCACTGGCATCAAAGGCGCTGAGGTCACATCTGCACCAGTCATCGATCACGTCCCCTTTCCCTGAGCACCAGTAGGAGCTCATCAGTGCACTCTTGAAGGCCTGGAATAAAGGAGGGCAGAAGAGATGATGATGACCATGTGGAGAGATTGAGAGTGAAGGTCCCAGTGAACATGACAGTAACTGAACCAAGCTTCACAGCAATCCACCTAGGCACAGGACACCATCTCTTGCCCAAACACCTAGCACTCTACCACCAGGTTCTCCCATTCTGAGCCATTCTCTCCCCAGCAGCTGGAATGATCACTGAGGCAGGACGGCAGTAACAGCAACAACCGAGAACCTCCTCTGGGGCCTGGTACTCTACCTGAATTAACTTATTTAATCTTCTTCACCCCATGCAATAGATATTATAATTATTATTATTGCCATTTCCCATTCTACCAATTGGAAAAGTGAGGCACATGGAGGTAACTTGCCTGAGGCTCACAACCAGTAAGTGATGGAGCTGGGATCTGATGAAAGCAGTGTGGCTCCAAACCCTCCCCCAAACTCCTTTTTTTTTAATTGAAGTATAATTAACAGCGTTATAGTAGTCTCAAGTGTACAACGTAAGGATTCAATGATTCCATACACTACTCGGCGCCTACCACAGCAAGCGTACTCATCACTTGTTGCTATGCTGCTTCTGGCAGAAGTCTGACCATCTCACGTCCCTGTGTAGAAACCTTCAGAGGCTCCCCATAGCTCTCAGGACAAAGTCTGAGCTCTTTACTCGAGCTCCTGACCATTTCCACAGTATCATTGGTCACCACTCCTCTGATTTTTCCTTGCATGCTACCACCCACCCTCATGCAACCACTAACATTCCCACCAATAGTAAATCCCTGCTTCTGGAAAGTGTGCTCTAAATTAGGAGACAACAAATTGCTTCTGTAAAGGGCCACATAGCAAATAATTTTGGCTTTGTGGCCAGGTAGTCTCTGCCACAATTACTTAGCTCTGCCTTTGTGGCATGAAAGCGACATAGAATAATACTTGAAATGAATGGGCATGATTGTGTTCTGATAAAACTTTATTTACAAAGACAGGAAGCAGGCTAAGTTTGGTCTAGGTCCACAGTTTGCTGACCCTTGCTCTAAATGATGATTAACATTCTATATAATTGCTTTTTTTTTATGTTCAGTTAGCCACTGTATAGTACATCATTAGTTTTTGATGTAGTGTTCAATGATTCATCAGTTGCATATAACACCCAGTGCTCATCACAACACGTGCCCTCCTTAATACCCATCACCCAGCTACCCCATCCCCCCATCAGAAACAAAACAAACAAAAAAACCCAACATTCTGTATAATTGCAATGTGCCTCATTGTCTTTTTTTTTTTTTTTTAAATCTTTTCTCCCTGCTGGAATATTCCCTGGCCCCCTTCCTTATACTCCAATTCACTCTTCCTGTCTTAAACATTCCTTTGCTCCAGGAACCCTACATCTTGAGTTTCTTAAGCCTTGAATCATGCTCCTCTTCTGGACACCATAACACACTAGACCACACCTACTGCCCCACCCCCTTGCCTGTCTCATCCAACAGATTCTGCTCATACCAAGGGTACAGGCCATGCCTTATTCAAGCAAGTATTCTCACAGGACCTGGCACAGATATCTAGTCAATATTTATTGAATAAATAAATGGACACTGAAAAACATCATTAGGCTCATGCTCAGGTTCGGGTGTGCTTCAAGCTTTAGTCACTCCATTTACACTGATGTTCCAATGCACTGGGGATTCAGAATGTTGGACAGCTCTTTTTTAAACTTAGGGACTTTAAAGAATATTGATCTCTTACCCCTTTACCAGGTAACAGACCCTATGTCCTCTCTTTTTCTTTTATGTTTGTTACTTTCTGTGTACTTTTTAAATGAAAGTTTCATACTGCCTATAACCAAGGACACCTGGTTAGCCAAGTGTCACTTTTTCCATCATGCATGGTCAAGACTCAGGTGTAACATGTTTGTGTAAAAAGGGTCTGGGGTCTACATTCTTAGCTACCCAAAACACAGATCTAGGGGGAGGTGTGTATCAAGAACGCTATTATAGCAATGCACCCAGCCATCCTGCAGATCTGTCTCTTGCTTCAATAGTGTTTGGACAGAACAGACCTAGGGAGACCCCTCCTTCCAGCTTCTGACTACCCTCCAACCTCTTCCAGTCACGACCTTCAGAACCATCTGCTCAGCCGCCCCCTGTCTCTGGGACCAGCCAACATTGTATTCTGAGCTTAGCTCCTCATTGCCAGTCAAACAAGAGTTTCTAGATTTGTCAGTTACTCCATCAACGTGGAGGCTGCCATTAACCACCTTGTCAACGTACATCTGTGGGCCTCCTACACCTACCTCTCTCTGGGCTTCTCTTTCCATCTCGACAATGTGGCTCTGGAGGGTGTAGGCCACTTCTGTGAGTTGACTGAAGAGAAACGCAAAGCCACCGAACATCTCTTGAAGAAGCAAAACCAGACTGGCAGCCGTGCCCTCCTCCAAAACATTCCAAAGCCTTCCCAAGATGAGTGGAGTAAAACTCTAGATGCCACGGAAGCCACCATGGTTCTGGAGAAGAACCTGAACGAGGCCCTTTTGGAGCTGCATGCCCTGGGTTCTGCCCAAGCAGACCCCCAGCTCTGTGACTTCCTGAAGAACCACTTCCTAGATGAGGAGGTGAAACTTATCAAGAAGATGGCAACCACCTCACTCACCTTGTCATGTGGCTGCCCGCCCCCCCCACCCCCCAGCCCAGCTGGACTGGGTTAGTATCTCTTTGAAAGGCTCACCCTCAAGTACAACTAGAAGCCTCTGGAGCCCAGCAGCCTTTAAGGACCCTCCCCGGCATCCCCCTGGTATAGGGGCTTCTGCCTACGCCTCTCCCTGAAGCCACTAGACAGCTTTTTAACCACCCCAGATCCCCTTCCCAAACTGTGGGCCAAATGGAAACAATAAAGCTTTTGAGAGGAAACAAACAAACAAACAAAAAAGAATGCTATTGTGTGAGCCTCCACCACATTTCTCTCAGCGCCTCTGATGAGGAAGCTCCAATACTCCTGCTGAATGTTCTCACCCATATTCTCTGCTAGAGAGAATTTCTCCTGAATTAAGTGTAGTGACTAAAGAAATTTAAAAAAGAATTATAATAAAAGCTAGTGTTCATGAAGCACCTGTTACACAGTGTACGTGCTTTAAGGGCATTAAAAAATGTGATTCTCACAACGGTAGAGATACAGATATCATAATCTTCATTTACAGGTGAAAGAACTAGGAATTAGCACAGTGAAGCGATTTTCCCCAGATCTCACAGCAATCTAAACAGTGCAAGCAGAATCCCAACCCAGATCTCTGTGACTAACAAGCACAGGACTTTTCTATTTAACCATGTGGGGCAGTGGACCCCAAGTAAGGTTGCCAGATTCAGCAAATCAAAAACAGGAGGCCTAGTTAAAATCAGATTTCAAGTGAATAAGAATTTTTTTTTTTTAAGTCCATCGCTCTCAGTGTTTGCATATAAAGTATGTAGGCCAGAGTCTAGCACAACAGTAATAGCACTATTCCTACTACAAGTCAGGACCTATGTTGGAAACAAACGTCCGTTATTCAGCACCGGGTGGGGGGTAGTTTCATGAGGACAGAAACCAAATGGGATCGCATGAGGTCATGCTGACTGATGGATCTTCCTCTCCCTTCCTTTGCAGGTTCCCCTTTACTAAAATTAACGTGCAGAATGGCTCATGGCTTAAGATTCTGTAACATCTCTAGCCAGCACTAAGGGCTTAATGCTATATTGGTGAAATCCAGGGCCATGGGTGAAAGTGACCCAGATGGTAAGAGATTGCTTTGACTCTAGCAATGAGAGGAGAGAGAACATCCTGTTTTGTTTGTGTATGTGCTTTTGTTTTTGTGTGAGTGTGTGTTTTGTAATCAATAGTTGCTTGAGCTTGTGGAAAACAAAACAGGAAATCTCTCTGGACTTTGTGAGTTTCACCATCCAAGCTGCTCTTGGGAAGAAATCCTGCCTGTGAGTCTCCACATCTACTGGCTCTTTCCCAAACCATGAGGAACAGAATGGGGCCTGGTGCAATGGCCAGGCAAACCCTGGAGAGAGCTCAAACACATCCTGATAAAAGGCCTACATCAAAGAGGGAGCCCTGGCTAGGCAGCAGGATCCAGCATTGTGTCAGGGCAGGATCACACTTTCCTTACGTCTCCAGCCCTTGCAACATCCCATCTCGAATCCAATTAGATCCCAGGGGAGGAGAATCATAGAATGTTCCAGCTTCAAGGGACTCTGTAAATCATCTAATCTAATCCATTTGACAGATCAGATACAGTGGCTCAGAAAGGCTAGTGGGCTGGTCCAAGGTGAGAGAGCAACTTTGTGATGAAATGATTCTATTCTTCCATTTAATCCTGAAATTACCCTTTGAGATGGATGTCCGATCCCCATTCACAAGTGAGCGTGGAAGAGTAGCAACTTGAACTGAAGTCCATCTGAATCCTGGCACCCTGGACCTTCTCAGGTCACACAGGAACAATAAATGCCAAGATTTCATCCAAAACATCCTTTTCAGCTGCTCTGTTTGGATCCCATGCTGATGTGCTGTTTGTGCGTGTCCGTGAGTGCATATGCCTGTGTGTGTGTGTGTGTGTGCATACGCGCGTGTGGGCGCGTGTGGGCGCGCGTGCTCATGCGCGTATGTTCTTAGAGGAAAATGAAACCTTACACTGGAGGCATTGTTGACTCCTGGCTTTGGGGTCAGTGAAGGGAATTAAGAAACAAATCCTGTACTTAAACAAGGGTAAGGACTACATTTGCATGACCACTGGTTTTCATAACAAAGAAATGCTTCCAACTTCTGGCTAATTAGCTAGCACACCAAACTGGGCAGGAGGAGAAAACAGCCACAAAAATGTTAAGCAATCAAAATAAACTAGGATTCATTTCTGACTGGATGGTTACTTCCCTATAAGAACTTGCCTAGTTTAAATTATGGAGTCACTCCTCTCTTTAAGCCTTAATTTCTCCACCTGTAAAATGAGGACACGGAAGATACATTTT